ATCTTTAACTTCAACGGTCGGATCGTCAAAATTAGATTTGTAACGAGAGATATTATCATAACAAAAAGGATGCCCAACGCATTAAGCCCCTCAAGGGTTGTTTGTCTTGCTCTAGTAGACCTTTGTTCTTGGTTTGGGTGTCTACAACTGCCCCTCTTTACTTGTCCTTTGGATGGCTAAATGTTTCTTTTCCAATGGAGTGCGAGCAACGACACTTGCGATGCAGCAAAGCACAAATAATAATGTTTGTGGTGTAGTGGAGTACAAGTGATGACACTTGAAAAGTATATGAACAGAGATGCAACACTTACAGTGTATAAGAGCACAAGTGGTGGTGCGTTCAATGGGGTGGGTTGATGTTAGGGTTTGGGAAAGGGGGGCACGAGTTTAGGAAAGGGAGGCTCTGAAGGGTTTGTGATTTTTGAAAGGGGGCTCTCAAGAGTTTTTTATTTTTGCGCAATCTTTGTACATTACAACGTTTCTCACTAAACTACCTCAATATTTAATAACTTAACGACGATTGATGGGAACCGCTGTGTGAACCATCGCAATGCTAAAGTGGAGACGGTTATAGTATTACCGTCTACGTCACTATTTTGTTCTTTTCTTGTAGTGAAAATTCTTTTCTATTTATTCATTGAGCTAACATTATAAATAGTATGTTATGAGCATAAATTGAGATTGCTCTTTCGTTTGTGATATGAAAGTTTGATATTGATGCTAGTTACACTTTGTATATAAACCGAAAAATTCCAAATTCTTTTTCATACTTTATATAGATTAGAAGCTAGCTAGAGAGATACTACACTAAGTTATAATACCACTACCAAAGAGGGTTGTTTCATGTTAGGTGTCCAAACCTATGATGCCTAAGTAACATCCTTCACACACTTGCTATATCCACTAAAGGCTTCACATCCTACTTCATCCTAGCAACTATACCTTACATAGATAGAAACCTCACACCCACCATTTTAGCATTGGAAATATAACATTAATAAATTGAATTTTTGCTTTTACCTATTCGTATTTTAGAAAATGAACTAGAGAACAAAAACAACTAGTTACACATTGCTTTTACATTTAAATACCTAAATCTTGTTTGGAGAGTAGGTTGGCATGATATATGATGTTGTAAATATGAAGTTACTTGTACAAATTGACCTGTTGTGTTTGGTCTATATTCTTTTATGATAGTTAAAATTTGTCATTCTTAATAATATCATTTACAAATTTTATGCGCCTGGGATAAACTTTAATAAATTCATGTTTTCTAGTTATATAATTCTTTTATTTGTCATTATTTACCCTTATAATAATTTCTTTTTGTCATTTGCATATTGTTAATATTTTCATTTTTATAATAAAGGAACTCAAAGAATAATGTCATGGATAACTTGAGATTTCCATTTTCCTTTCACTACAAGAAAAACGCAAATTTCTGATAGACATAATTCGTAAAAAAAAAAGGAATATCCATAAAAAATTCTCTATTTCTGACGGATTTTCGACCGATGCAAATCTGTCGAAAAAAGGGGCGTTAGAAAAAAAAATCCATCAACACCAATTTAATCCGCCAGAAATTTCTAATGGATATATCCGTCGGTAATTATCTGTCGGTATACATCCATAAAAAATTGACGGATACATCCATAAAAATTATCGACGGATACATCCGTAAAAGTTACCGACAAATATATCTGTCGAAAATTGTTTGAAAATCTTTATATGATTTCGACGGATAAATCTGTCGGAAAATTTTTGTTTAATTTTAATAAGTTTATTAATGTAACAACCCTCATATATTTGCCCTCTCAAGGATTCTATTTCACGACATTTTATTTTTTAGCGTGTTTTATCCTTACTTGCACAATTTCTGGGAAGCTTCCTAGAAGTTCACCCATCTATCTATTACTCCAAATCTAGCACGCTTAATTGCAGAGTTATGATGAGATAAGCTACTTAAATGTTTATGCATGTAGTGAGTATAACTTGTACACATTAATCTATTTAAGTCATCATCAACTATACAATCTCATATTTGTACTATGTTTGGATCCTTCAAATTCTAGTGTGTCCGGAGTGTTATAAAAATATAATAATATATAATAATTATATTATGAATAATAATAATAATAATATATTTAATTAATCTTTATTTATATATACTTACTTTTATAATTAATAATCAACTTATTTCT